TGTGGTTGCGGATCTGGCTGCAAGTGCGGCAACGGTTGCGGAGGGTAAAATCTCGACTCTCACGTCCTTTTTTTGTTTTGTAAAATTTTCTCGGGAAAGTCTTACTTTCCAGAGAAAATCTGCTTCATGCAGCTATTTCTGTGTTTAAACCTTGGAATTGTGACTCTGTTCGTGTTTCAATTTCCCAGAAAAGTATTTTGAACCTGGAGATAGAACTTTTTATCAATCTGTTCACGGCCTCTGTTTCAAAATCTCTGCATTTTGATACGTAATCCCTAAATTCTCGATGATATCGTAACAAAATCTTAAGAAAATATATGTGGTTTTAAATTTCCTTATTTTTGTAAAATGATATCGATTTTTTCGCTTTGTGCAGTTGCAAAATGTACCCAGACTTGGGTTTCTCCGGTGAGACCACCACCACCGAGACTCTTGTCCTCGGCGTTGCTCCGGCGATGAACTCCCAGTACGAGGCTTCCGGCGAGACCTTCGTGGCCGAGAATGATGCCTGCAAATGCGGATCTGACTGCAAGTGCGACCCTTGCACCTGCAAATGAACAACCCCATAAACCCTAAGAGTCTGCAATAACCCTAATGTTATGTTAGGTCTGGTTATGTGTAATAAATGGCTGATGTCGCCGGTGTTTTGCCGGCGACTTGAGTCTTGTCCTTCTTCTTCTTCTTCTGTTGTGTGTTTTTATGGTTTGGTCATAAGATATCTCTGCACGTTATATCTATGTGACTATATAATCAAAAATTATTATGGGGTTTGTATTTGCGTCTCTGATTGAAGTTTCAGTGAGAACTTTAAAGTTTGCTTCATTCTTGCTAAGTACACATTTAAAAATCAAGCCATGTCTTACATAAACAAGAACAGACAACAATTAAAGTACACGGTACACAAGCTCTTGAAGTAAGCTAAATGTTGCTGTTTGCTAGAGACGACAACTAAGGTGTTGTTGAAGCAGAAACTGGCTTCTCAAGAATTCCTTCAGTGGCTCTTTTGAATAAGTTATGTACCTGTCTTGAAGTGAAACCGATCTTCTCTAAGTCCGTAAGCTGTTGAAAGTCCAGAGTATTGGTTAGTAGTTGAAAGCGAGACTAGCTCTCAGGAGCAAAACTTAGGAGAAGAGTGAATTTAGTACCGATTTCAAGGGGCTTGTTTCTCTGAGCTCAACTATGTACTCAGCCATCTTCTGTCCAATTCCCTGTGAAAAACAAAATGAAACAGAGCTATGTGAAGTGAAACCAAAATTTGACTAAGGAAGTGTGGCTGTATGTGCTTTGTTCACAAAGTGGTTGAAGTTACCTTTAACTCCATTAGCTCTTCTCTGTGTGCTCGTAAATAAACAAATGATGAAGTTAGTTCTTGTGTGGACCCTAAGGGTTCCGAAGAATCAAAGGCAAGCAGATAAAACTGGAGACTATTTATTACCTGTCGGCTGTGTTCAAGAAGTGAATGTACTCATTTATGAGAGAGGTCTGTTGAGAAGAAAAACGTTGCAAAAAGGATGAGAGTTCTGGTTTTTGCCAACATAATAACCCATGTTTTGGGAAATGTTCTGGTTCTTACCTTTAAATTAGTGCTCCAAGCATTGAACTTCTGGCAAGTGCCACTCTTTTGTATATTCTCAGGGTTTGCAGAAAGAAATGGTGTTTTGGGGGTCATTGGCTTGAGGATGGAAGAGTAGCCACCTCCTGACTTTGGTTTTGTATTTGTGTCTATTGGAGATAGAGCTTCTCGAAGAGGACTGAGTTCAGTATGTTTCTTCTCTATCTCCAATGGGTTATCTAGATTAAACGCAAAACAAAAAGTAAGGATAAAAACTATATATATGTCCAAAAATCTTATTAACAAGTAGCTCAAGAAAGCAAACCTCTCAAGCTTGCTTCTGATACCAATATACTCTCTTCGCCAGATGTCTCTCTCTCGTCTTCTTTGGTTGGAGAAGCTAAGTGAAGGTTCTGTATTGGTTCCTGGATTATTCAAAGAACACAATCGGTTAAGTAAAGCTTCCCATTCAGTATGAATATTACAGATCAAAACTTGGAAGATAATATACAAGGAGAAATCCAGGTTATATTGATGTTTTTCAATTTTCTCAATGAAACCAGAGTAGCATACCCATAAACCTGAAGCAGCAGGAGCTTCATGAGCTTCATCACCAAATAAGTTCCTCGCAGTCACAAATGCCTCCCTGTGTATGGATATATTGTGAGGGAAGAGGCTTTAGGATGTTAGAACAATCAAGAACCAACCATTCAAAGGGGTACCTATCTCCTGTGCCAGCAATTTTAGCATTTTCTGTTCTGTGACAGCCGAGTTTCTTGACCGACTTTTGAGAAACTGAAGCTTGATTTGTACCAAACAGCGGAGAACGTATTGCCATCATTCTATGCGTGCTCTTCGTCTTGCCTTTTGATTCCAGCCAAGCTTGCAGTTTTGCTTCCATATCTACTTTAACCTTGGGGGTCTCAACCTTGGGATTCAACGAAACATTGTTGGAGATGTGCCTTGACCTTGCAGCCAAGCTAACAGTGCGAAGAGATTCTTGGTACTCTCCAGGATTCTAAAACAACACAAACAAACAAATAGATTTATGGCACTAGACGCATAGTCTATTTAAATCCCACTAAACATCAATAACTCTTCATCTTCTTACCAGGCATGCCACCATGAGAGCCCTACTTGTTCCTCCAAGTGAATCCTGCAGTATTCTGGTCAATTTGCTTTCCCTGTAAGGCACTCTTTGCAGGTTATTATTCAGCGCATAAACCACATTGGACAGTGCAAATAAGGACTGATTAATCTTGGCACTCTCTTGTAGACGGGTTCCTTCATTGCCTGTCCTTCTATTGTCTTCGTTACCTGCTTAAGCCATGGAGTTTTGTTAAAACTGCAGATAACAATGTCTAAGAGGCTCTATGTACTCAGATGATGGAAAGAAAAGTAACCTGCCAGATCAATCAGATTGATTTTCCCAGTGACAGTCCCTTCTGAGGTTATGGAGATCACAAGCACCCCATGGCTCCTACTAGAGACATCATTTAAACCAGTGTGTGCAACTTTCCTCCGCTGAACACCACACGAGTAGGCCTCGTGAAACTCATGCATGGAGCTAACTGGGATACTAGAGAGCCCCTTAAGATGGACATGTCCATCTTTATCATCCCAAATAGCAATCTCGTTAGCTTTGACTTCTAGGAGATCCCAACATCTGTCCATGTAAACTTCATAATATGATATCTCCGCTCTACTTCCCGTCTTCTCGCACATTGACAGAACGGTGGACATGGCCAACGGCATCAGGCCAGGAAGCTCATCGATTCCCTGAGACATCATCAAATGAAACAAAGAGTTGAAAGAGCATTCATTATGATGATAGAGCTATTATTTTTTGTTAAACCCATTTCAGAGCTCAACATAACAGAGATTTTGATAAAATATCACAAAGAAAACAAGTTCTCTAAAACCAACTAAGCAACTCAATCACTAGAATCTCCCAATTTCATGGTCTTTCTATCTAATTAATTTCTCAGCCCTCTCCACTATGATAAAAAAAAAAGCAATACTAATCTCAATTTTTCACTTTTGGATCCAAAATTTTGAAATTTCTAGGAAACTGACCTGCATTGTAAACGTCTTTCCGCTTCCGGTGGCTCCGTAAGCAAGCACAGTAGCGTTTAAACCCTGAAAGATCCCCGAAATCAAAGGGTTTACTTCTCTGTCAAATATCTGCTTCACATTGTCATCATCTCTCCCGTAAAATGCATCAAGCTGATAGCATTCGTTACGACTGTTTCAAATCACATCAAATCCTTAATCAATGTTCTGGTAATAAGCACTGAAATCGAAGTACAGAAAAAGGGTAAAATGCTTACCAGCTATCTGGGTCTTTGAGGTAAACTGCTACTTCGCTCGCATCCCCATCATCGCTGCTGATAACGGAAATGGAAGATCGTCCATCACCATTCTCGATCTCTCGGGTAAGAAAGGGACGAACTCTAAGGACCACCCTGACCTTGAAAATCGAAGATGAATCCAAAACTTTGGTTTTTGATTCCATCTCAGTGACTGTGAGTTTGAGAAAAGAGAGAGATTGTTTTTTTCTGCAGTGACTAGAGAGAGAGAGAGAGGGATCGTTGAATTCAAATTTTCAGTGAGTAGAAGAAAGTGATGATCCCCTTTAGTTTGAATTTCAGTGATGATCCCATTTTGTATTGGGCCGAAAATTACATTTTCTCTCTTTTTTTGTCAGATTTTGGGCCCATTACTACATATCGATATCCGATAGTTACGACCGTAGGATGACTTTTCTTTATGAATCAACGGTCTAGAATCATTGGGGATCTCTTTGCAGTGTGCCTATGTGTTCGATGGTCAACGCAGAAACTCTATAGTGCCGTTTGAGGTTCAAACGTTTGTTCCTAACGCTAACTCTCTTCTTGCCATTAACGTCCGTTAAATCTCCGTGTATATGATGTGACTTTCCAGCTTCCAAAAACTTACCATTTACGGATATAGTTTGGTTTTCCGACAGTTTTTTCAAACCGTGACTGTAACAAATACTCGTTATTTAATATCATACAAATACATAAATTTGGCACCAAACTTAAAGACAAACAAGAATGAAATTCTAGCATATAATGAGCCATATATCTTTATGTTCTACTTTGTGTTTTTCATTTTGTTAAATCGACCCGAACCAGCCAAAATACCATATTTATATGTTTTGAGTCGGCTTGGAATTAACCGATCGGTCCAAGGTTAACGGCGAGTAAACGGTAACGTCGGCTGAAGAAGTATTCGTTACAATCAGTTTTAACCTTTTTTTTTTAATCCCCAATTTTATTTTTTCCCCATTAGTCTCTCCTATCTCTCTTCTCTCTCGTTCAACGGGCAAAGTTTTTTTTCGAATAGAGTTTTGGTTTTCTTAACGTTCCCTTCTTCTTCTTCTTCCTCTTCGTCTGCTCGCGAATTCGTGCATCTGTCTATCTCGATGAGCTCCAGTTCGTATCCACCGGCTTGTTCGCCGGATAAGGTCAGTTTTTCACCCCCAATCCGATTAGGGGTTTTCATTTCGTGTGATCAGATTAGTTTTTCTTCTTCTGCTGTGGTGTAAGTTAATGGTTTTTAGGTCTGACTCAGAGCACGTCTTAAGGTCTCAGAAAATGGTCTTATTGGTGTCTAATGATTTGAATTGTTATAAACCCTAAATATTTCATCTTTGGAAGAAATCGAGTTGATTTAGTGATTTTCCCGATTTGTGAGATCTGCTTTCTGTTTCGGGGCGGTGATTTTTCTGATATTTGATTTTTTCTTATTTTGGTTTCATTAAGATCCGCTATTATTCAGTTTCTGCTATATTTTTGTTCCTTGTGAGAATTCTGGAATTGTGGTGATCTGTAGGAGGGAAAAAGCGAATTGGGGAATGAGATTCACTGTATGGAGAATAAGCAAGCAACACCAGCTTCTTGCTCTTCAGCATCTGAAGGAAGTGGCACTTTCTTCCTCAAGTCACCTGAAATCGTAACCCCTGCCACTTCGTCTCCAACTCATCGGTAGTGTTATCTGTGAATTTATAAAAATGAGACTTTTGATGTTCATTATGGAAAATTTTGTGCTTTGGTGAGTGGAGATCTAAAAAACTTGGATTTTTGCAATGTTTAATCTTTCAGGAGGACTAGTGGACCTATAAGGCGAGCAAAAGGTGGTTGGACTCCAGAGGAGGTTAGTGGTTGTTTCTCGGTTACATGATTTAGTTCATGTCTACAGAAATCTCATTCGACTGTGTATCTTGTATGTATATGGATTACTTGATTGGCTTTGGTTTCTATCACTGTTCAGGATGAGACACTGAGACGAGCAGTTGAAAAGTACAAGGGGAAGAAGTGGAAGAAAATAGGTATCTTTTTCATATTCTCGAGTCTATTTCCTGTAAAACTAGGTAGCATCAGTGTTGCAACACATTTCATAAGATTAGTCCTCTTCAACTGATGAACCTATTTGGGATCTGAACTCTTGTCTCTGTTGGACTTCTGTGAAATGATCTCATATTGTAGATGATAAAGCAGCTGGTATAAGGTCATTGTTCCTGTTGTTTAATGTATTGTATTTCATTTGCAGCGGAATCTTTCCCAGATAGAACAGAAGTCCAATGCTTGCACCGGTGGCAAAAAGTTCTTAATCCAGAGCTTGTTAAAGGACCTTGGACTCAGGAGGTTCTTTTAATGCTCTGAAACTTTTTTTTTTTTTTTTTGCTTTTGGCTTCACGTGAAACTTGCTTGCTTATAAAACTCCCTTTCTATTCTCTCTGGTTTTGTAGGAGGATGATCAAATCGTTGAACTTGTTAAAAAATATGGACCTGCCAAGTGGTCTGTTATCGCAAGGTCTTTACCAGGTCGTATCGGAAAGCAATGTCGAGAAAGGTAATAAGGATTAGATTAGAGTGTTTGCATCTTTTGATTTTGGAAGCTTCAATGTGTTGTTTATGATTACAGGTGGCACAACCATTTGAATCCTGGGATTAGAAAGGATGCTTGGAGCACAGAAGAAGAATCAGCTCTCATGAATGCTCATCAAATGCATGGCAACAAATGGGCTGAAATCGCTAAGGTCTTACCTGGGAGGTATACTTTCTTGTTGAACATAACTGAAAGTAACAAGGAAAAAGTTTTGACATTTTAGTAACAGCTCATTCAGTTAATGCTTCTGATTTCATGAAATAGTCTGCCTGACTTTGATGCAGGACTGATAACGCGATAAAGAATCACTGGAATAGTTCACTCAAGAAAAAGTTAGAGTACTATTTGGCAACCGGTGGCTTGCCGCCGTCAGCAACCAAATCCAGCGTCCCCAATGATTTTGCCGATGTAGACAGAGATTCTAAGCAGTTTAGTGCGACTAAACTTTTGAAGGATTCTGATTCGCTTGGCCTGACTTCTTCAGAAAATACAGATACAAATGAAGATGGAAGAGAGCATATGTACTCTTCTTCAGATATACTTGAGGAAGTAGCTTCTTCAAGAAGAAGTGGTGCTAATGAATATACTTGTTCTCCATCTGCTGTTGAGTACAAGCCTCATCACTTGCCTATTCCGGGACAAATTTCAGAGAAATTCGTAATCAACTCAAATGCTTATGTCGAGAGATCAGTCCAGAGGAAAGAAGAAAATGGGATTGGAACTCCAAAGCATGGGAATCTGTATTATAAGTCTCCACTAGACTTTTACATTCCATCAGAAGCGGATCTGCAACGTATGTACGGATATGAATGTGGCTGCAGTCCTGGTGCTGCATCTCCGGTCACCTTATTTACTCCACCGTGTAATAAGGACAGTGGTTTAACTGCAACGAGAAGCCCTGAATCTTTCTTGAGAGAAGCAGCTAGGACTTTCCCAAACACTCCTTCTATCTTTAGGAAAAGGAGAAAGGTTGTTGTGGCGGCGAAAACAGATGATGATGCTGTTGTTGCTGTTGTAAATGGTGGAGTTAAGGAAGCTGATCAAAAGGAAAGCTTTAAGGGCAGTTCAGAGATTTCTCCAGCTCGGAGCGAAGATTTGTTGCTAGAGACACCAGGCTGTAGAGATGATGACAGTTTGGGGTCAAATGGAAATGCTTTTAATGTGTCTCCGCCATATCGGATAAGAGCTAAAAGAACAGCTGTAGTCAAATCAAGACAGCTTGAGTTTACATCTTCAAAAGAGAAGCAGCCAGAGAATGAAACCGAAACATCTGATGAGGAAGACAAGCCTGTGTAGAACGCTTCTTCCTTCTTCATCCTTGTGCATACAAAGCCGGATTTATTGACTGTGAGTGAATTTCTTTTTAATCTTTTCCACCTCTAAATCTGTGCAAAACTGAAATTTCATCGTTTTTTATAACAGAAATGATGTGAAGAAACAGGTGTGGTTCCAGAAGAATTACCAGAGTTCTGAGCTTCGCTGAGACGAGTTTTGTGAAGAATTTAATCAATTTCATTCAATCTCACACTCTCTCTCTCTCTCTCTCTCTCTCTCTCTCTCTCTCTCTCTCTCTCTCTCTGGAGCTCTTAAATTCGTGGCTCTGGGTTTTTTGGTCGTCTTACACCTGAACTAATGAATCGGGTACACACTTACAATAATTTAAATTAATCCTTTACATGGTGAGAAATGATATTTTGTTTATTTTAGAATGATTCTGTGCAGAAAACTAGTTACAGTGATTAGAATTGGTTATTTTATTTAATTACTATTTTTTTGAGGCTGATGTTACATTTATGCTGGATACAAGTTATATCATATAACAAACGTTGTGTTCGTATCAAATTTATATGTTTAATAAGTAAAATATCTTAATCCAGTGCTTGGATGTTTATTGTTTTCGTCTGTGAGTTTAATCTGGAAATGGCATTCAAAAGCAAATGACGCTCGTTGAATTTGTAAATTACATACGTTTTCTTGCTGAGCCTGAAACTCGTACGGACTGGCCCATTTAGGATTGGATATCGAAGAATATTATAATTGGGCCTAAGCTGAGGACTATTGGGCATGCGGCGGCCCATTTCAGATTATATTGGGCCTGAGTCGGCCCATTTAAAGACCTTTTGGGCCTGAGTCGACCCATCCTCAACCGAAGCCGGCCCATTGGATATTAGCTGCCTTATTAAAGGTCGGATGTGGGCCACAATATTAGATTATTACATTTACACGCTGTGTTTATTTCGAAACGAATATCCTCCGTCCCAATAAAAACCGCAAAGAAAGTAGAATACTTCTTATTTACAAACATGTCCACAAAATAAAGAAAATGTGACGGAAACTTTTAGAACAAAAAACCATCAGAAAATCTCTTAGAATCTTCTTCACTGATGATTTCAACGTAGCAATATGAATTTATAAGATCTCCAGAGAGAAACAACCTTTGATAAAGAAAGATAGAAAGAAAGAAGTCCTTTCAAATTAAGAAGTCTCCGATTGTGGTCTGATTGAGAACTTTCGAACTGTGATCAAGTCCATGAGAACCAACCTGACAAAGGAAATTAAAAACACACAAAAAAATATGATATCAACAAACGAAACCAAACTTCGTCTTTTTGATTTAGTGATTGTTGAGACGTAACATTTACATACCATGTAAGTCAAAGCAGCATAGCGTTCTTCATTCAGGTATAGTGGTTTCCCTCTGGCCATATCGATATCCTGTAACAGAGAGAAAATAAAATAAAATATCAAACTCCATAGCACGGAAACATCTGGATCAACAAGATCAAAATTCAAAAAAAACTTTGTAGGTGTTTACCTCTTCTCCGAAAGTATCCAAGTAAGGAGATGGCCAAGGTGATTGTCTTGCAAATCTTTGTAGCAATATTGTGGTCCGCTATAAAAGAAGTGATCGATTAAAAGCCCAGAAATTATGCAAACACCACAACACATAAGCAAGCAATATAGAAAAGTGAAAGAGAGAAGCTAGGATCCACAAGAAAGAGAGGGAGATACCCGTATCAGAAGATATACACCAGTACCAGCACCACACGTAACTGCATGAGTCTGGCAACCGCTTTCTCTGTAAAAGTATGTTACAACGCAAGTTATTTGGTTTCTGAAAATATAAACTAGGTGGAGCAAAACGGTATTTGGAGACTAGTTAAAGTGAAGCAAATACCTGCAACAAGGTCTCCATATGGGAGAACACAATCTTCCACACAGAAGACATAATGCAGGCTCTTCGATGACTTTCGAGCAGTTGCTGCAAGGTTTTTTGATACACCTAATATATATATAAAACAAATGCCATGCTTCGCGATTAGAGAAATTCTCTTCGAATGGGAAAATAAACTCAGAGAGAGAGAAAGACTTCGCGGCAAACCTTTGCAGCAGTTCCTGGTATATATTGGGTAATTTCATTAGCTGGAAAGGAACTAGAGGGGTGATGCAAAGAGGCCTTATAACTCTGTTGACTCTGTATTCCCTCTGGAAATGCTGGAGCCATCTATGTGTTGAAGACCGGAGCAGTTCATCGTTGAGAATGGCATCGATTGGTGGAATCTTAAACATTTTCTCCAATTCTTGCACATGATTCAGCTCAGACTGGGGACCGTACATGAAATCCATATTGTCGCCGGTGGAGTCTGATGGCACATCCAACATATCTACCTCTTCATGAAACTTTCCAGGAGTTGTTTTCAGTAGCCTCCACAACAAGGCACATCTCCTCAAGAAGGGAAGACTATATTTACGGATTGTGTCTTTTATATCACATGATAAATCCATATTGCTACACATGAAACTCCCCCACCCACCTGATTCTCTCAAAGCCTTGGAGATCTCATTAAGCAGGTTTTCCTCAAATTGTAACTCAGTCAAGTCACACAGATGACATGCACAGTAAGCAATTACAGTCTGCACCAAAGACAACGTGATTAGGAAAAGTGAGTTTTAAGAGGCAAAAATAGTCCATACACACACGCAAATGACAATGTGGCATACCTGAACAAGAGAGACACTGTAGAAAACATGCACAAGTGATAATAGAGATTCCTCGCATGTGATAAAAGGAAAAGGTAGACAAAAAAGAGACCACATTAGTGATGAAAATGGGTCATGCGCAAGAACAGGATCAGATGCTCGATTCCAGAGTAGGTTTATATCCTTCAATGAACCTGCTGTGCCTGAAATGATAGCAACTATTCTCAGATTTAATTTATCAAGACGCATCATCTACAGTTAGCAACTAATTCATTAATAATTGGGAAATTTGTAGATAGACTAAAAATGATCCCTTGAAAAACCAGCTAATGTCAGCTTCAAAGCACACACGGAGGCCATGTATACATTTCCATTTATTGTCTATCAGAGTTGGGAGTAAAAGTACCTTCACTTCCAAATATGATGCCCGAAGAACTATTTGAAATTCCAGAGCATATAGACTCTGCAAGATGCTTCATACCCATAAATCTCTGACGAACATGTAGAGCATTCTTTGTCCGGGTGCTCTGTACTACTCGTAATAAGAGGGACAAAACAGTTCCCTTAGAGGTTTTAAACTCTTCATACAAAGAGTCAATACAATGCACAGGAAGCATCGAGTTCTTTGCACAACGACTAACAGTTTCCATTGAAATAAGAGAGTATTTAAGGGTGTCCCACATGACGATTGATTGTGATAGCAATGAACTTCCTGGGACTTTTTCCTCTCGCTTGGAAAAATAGAAATCCCAGAGCTTGTTAGATACAGATTCAAGATCTTTCCTTCTTGATTCAACTCCCTGCTGAAAAACTGCTTTAACGCTATCACCATCTTCGATCACTTCAGCAGCAGATCGTAGTAAACACAATGCTTCAGAGATCCGAAGAGAAGGCTTCTGTGCATCTGATCTACCTAACTTAGTATGCGGACTTTCCTGTAGCTTTGAGACAGAACCTAAATCTCCAGGACATGCAGGCAATACAGAATTAGCTAGTCGGCGGCATGCAGGGCAGAGAAATTCACCCTGGAAGAAGAAACAATGTTGAAGCTTCAGAAGGAGAAGATTAAAGCCCCAGAAAATATCTTTAAAACTGGTCACACAAATACCTGTTCCAGATCCACAATATGTGCACCTTCAAAGACACTTCTTCTGCCAGACCTACAATTAAAACAAAACAAAACTGAGCTTTCAAATGCAATGATCGTATCACAGCTGCAAAATAAAGGAAGTAAAATAAATAGTTCGATAATGCACGACAAATAAGGAGATATCAACTTGAAAGAGAAAGGTTCACCTATCTACAAGCTGATTAATTATTTGTTTCTAACTTAGGGCCACAAAGAAGTAAAAGATGGGCTCACCTTTCCTTTAACGACTTTATATATCGTTCAAGACAGCTTTGATGTACAGCATGACCACATGATGAAAGATAAACCCCATCGCAGTCGGTAGGGTGAATCCTATCTGAACTGACATCAGAATGTCTGGAGGGCTGTCTTGAACGAATATCAGGATATTTAACTTGCAACGTAGATGGACCACCAACAGAATTTCTCTCTGAACTACTTTCAGCATCATGCTGTTGATGATCTACCCGTGTAAGGCTTTGATTTACAATGTTATCAATTTTTTTACGAACAATCTGATACATAACTATCTCCAACGACTCCATGACAGATTCATCTTTTCCCCTCCCATTGGTAAACCTCTTCTCTGTCTGAATGTTCCCTATAAGCCGGGCTTTTAAAGATTCAAGCACAGAATCTGTAGCAAACTCAGAGGTTGCATCATCTGACAATTGCAGCACATGAGGAGGACTCATTCTTAACCTATCTGAGGAAATATTCATTCTCAGGTGATCGGGAGTACCATCCACTGATATCTTCTTTTCGGACTGTGGACCTTGATCCCAAGATGGAGGGCCTCTGTCCACAAAACTCAAAAGTTTTGATTTCTGCAGAAAAAAAAAAGATCATTAAGAATGATCTAAAATGAAACTTCCTCGGAGTATATGTTTATTAACATCAGTCATAGCATCATTTATGCTACCAACCTGGAGAAAAATCAAGAAAGAAACGGGGTCTTTGGAATCTGGGTCATGGCAGAGGGAGCATACTTCACGGACAGCAATTTCTGAATCTTGTTCCATCACAGAATCACTTGTTTCAGTTTCAGAACTTGGATCATCATCATCCATGCTCGAGCTCAAGGTAGACAAGAATTTTGATTGTTCAGCTTTCATTTTTGCCTGCAAGCAATTTGGAATTTTGGTTGTTCAGCTTTCAGCTTTCATGTTAAACATGTGCACTCGAA